TGCCACCCTACCGCGGTAGGGTGGCATAACACCCTACCGCGGTAGGGTGGCATAGCAGCTATATCAGGTGACTTAGCAGACGATATCTCGAAAAGTAGCAGTAATAGGCAATAATCGTCAATAGGGCATGGAAGACAATGGATTAGTTGTTTGCATGACATGCTCATCTTTAGCGGCTCGAAATAACATTTCTCAAAAAGTCTAACTAAAGAGCAAGTTGTTGTTGATTATCTCTGACTTGTGTTTGGGGGTTCATAATGACTTCATTATTGACTTTGGCCCAAAAATTTTGACAGTATTGTGTGCGTTGATCAATTCTGAGCTCAGGGACATATATTTTATTCAGATTATAAGCATTCGTTTTTCATAAATTTCAGCGCTTCAAAGAGCGCCGGTCAGTCAGTAGAGCGGCGAGGTGACAATTGCCCCTACATCATGTGGTTGACCGGCGCATATCTCGAAAAGTAGCAGGGAAAAGCAGCAAAGCACCTATATGGAACGAAAGTTGAGTAATCAGAGGGTAGTATAAGATGTTCATTTTTAGCCGCTCGAAATAACGTTTTTATAAAAGTCTATTTAAAAATTTAGATATGATTTTTATTATGGTCTTGCAGCTGCTTGCAAAAAGCTAGCTTATCTTGCAGAAAAGCGATGCAATATGTAAGAATGTTGTTGGTAGAGTGAACAACAGTGCCCTGAACTAGTCTGACAGAAAATTGCGTTCAAAACGACAACTGGTCAAATAATAAATATCAACTAAAGATGAGCATTAAAATCGGCAAATGTGGTGGCCACTAGCGGGTCTAAATAGTCTTGTGTTTGGTGACAACTGACCACCTCAATTTCGACCTTAGGGCAAAAATGGCATCAGAGCCGTATGCTTTGATCAATTTGGGATCGAATGATACATATTTTGTTCATATTGTGGAAAGTCACTCTTGGGGGTATTTCTAGCGCTTTTCCGGTCCGCCGGCCCAGCGTGCGGCGGAAGGGAGGCTGCGGAGGCATGGGGGCTTTTTTACGCATTTTTGGAAAAACTAATGGGTTTAGTGAAAAACGCTTCTTAGATAATTCGAAGAAAAATGTCTCGGCTTTCCGATGATGCCCTTAGTTTTGTGCTAGCTTTAGCAGAGTTTGTTCTAGAGCGCTTCAAAAATCGCCCATTTGCATAGGACTTAAACGGGACTTCAAGACTTGCCCTCAGATGACGTCACGAGCTGACGTCACGATCAGGTAGAATCGCCGGACGACCCTACCTGGTATATAGGGCCTTGGCCGCGCCCAAAGCCAGGGCCCCGGTAACGTGAGTTAGCCGAGTCGGGGCAGCGTGCGCTGACCCAAGCCGGGGCCGCAGCTTAGGGCGCGGTCTACCGCATCCCCGCGGGCAGCCCCGGGCTATCACATGACACCGGGAGGACGCGCAGCCCCGGCTTGGGTCAGCGCACGCTGCCCCGACTCGGCTACCTCACGTTACCGGGGCCCTGGCTTTGGGCGCGGTCTACCGCACCACCTAACAGGCGTGTTCGAAACCGCAGGAGATGATGATGAACGGGTTTATCGAAACTTGATTGGATGAGCGTATCGGTAATAGCGATTTCAGTGTGTGCATTTATTGTTCATAGTGGTGTGAAATGTGGTTGGGGTACGACCGACAACCCGTCGGGGCGAATTTCGCACTGGGGTACTCAAAATTTGAAGAATTTAAGACGTATCCATGAGTTTTTAAGGTATGGATAAGTTCTAAAAATCCGGTTCTCCTTATCTGGGCCATTAACTCCATACGGTCCAGGAAAGCTGGCACACTACCTTTAACATGTAAACCCTATGGGCTATTGGGCTGGTAGGAAATGTACGCCGTGGAGCAGCAGTGCTACCAACTAACTTCGGCGGGGGCCGGCCCCGACTCGGCTACCTCACGTTACCGGGGCCCTGGCTTTGGGCGCGGTGGTGGTGCGTCGGGCCGCGCGCTCTGACTTCGGCCAAGAAAAATGCGTCAGCTGATCATTGTCAGTTCTGCCACTTTCATGTGGTGAGATGGGGTCATAACTTTAGAGACGGCTGTTTCATATCAACTATTTTACATAAAATAATATTTCCAACCATAAATTAATGTTCGACAGCCAAATTAAAGAAACAATACCAATACAGGCTTACAGTTTAAGTTCGACATTGTGTTGTCTACGATTAGACAGCTGATAACTCATTCCCGTACGTCGTAACTCTTTAAAGGAAAAGGGCCACCTTCGTGAAATATGAAGATATCGTTGTTTCTCATTTTGACATTATTATTTTTCATTTTCTTTTTAAAACTGGTGCCAGAAGTGCACAATTCGCGAAAAAGTATTTAAAACTATTTAACATATTGGTACTATGTTGATACTCTCTACGGCACCTACTGTATGATGGCATAGCGATGACGTCACACTCAAGCCAATCAGCGTTCAGAAGACAGACTCGTCGGATTGTGTTAGATAAGCTGATTGGTTAAAGCTGAGCTGGTTGGAGCTGATTGGTAAAAAACCAAAGCCTCGCCGCGGGTGGCTGTATTGTCGGATAAGAACGCATTCCTGGGATAAGGACGCATTCCTGGCGTATTTTCTTTTAAAATTGCCGATAACTACGAATGGAGGCCGAAATCGGCCGTATGGAGGAAGACGTACAGGTTTTCGGACACGGGCTACAAGATGGCTATCTCAGTTTCAATCCCCATGTTAACCCGCGCCCCGTTGGGCTCTGCCGAGCAATGCGCCCGGTTGGGGGGGGGGCCATTTTGGCCCCCCCTAAGATCTCGAGAACCACGCAACATAGCGACAAGCGGTAAACGGCGTTGGATAGCCCCACCGGGGAACTACCTTGTGACCCAATTTTATTGACCTAGGTCAAACCGATGACGTCACAGGTCAGGTCAAAGGTCCAATTTTCACCGTTTACAGGCACTTCAAGAAATGCGTTGTAAAATCGAGTAAAATGCATTTCATTGAAAATCATCGATGGGGAAATGTTCTTCAAACACATATTTTGCTATTTGAGGTCACTGATACCAGGTCAGGTCACAGAGGTCAGGTCACGGGGGGTCACAATATGAAAGTGTCGTGTGATACATGTTTTATGGTCCATTTTACATGACAAATGCGATTATATGGGTCAGGCAGCCTTTGGGGCCAGCTTAGATCACGTTTTGGTCAAGGTCAGGTCAAGGTCAGGTCAAGGTCAGGTCAAATTAGGTCAAATTTCAAAGTTAATATTTTTGCATAAAATGGGTATCGAATCGATGCAGCTCGTCACGGGGAGTTCAATGGTGGTCTTTGTTTTGCCGTACGTGGTCTAGAATTGCTAAAAATTGAGTTCAAAAATTTGACGTCATCATTTTTGAACAGTTTTTTCGCTATAACTTGGCCAAAAAACGAGATATCGATCTGAAATTTGGTATGTATATAGAAGAGCGCTGTGACTATCACATATATTCCGGTTTTTTCGAAATTCGGAAAATTTTTGGATTTTTTCAAAGTTTTTCTAAAAAAATCAACTTTTTGATTTTTTTTTGGTCAAAAACCAAAAATTTTGAAAATCCGAGATAGCAGTTTTGTAGCGCCGCTTTTTGTCTACTAGACCATATAAAGAACTTTGAAATTGCTTGATAACTGTAGATTTGGTGAGCGTTTCAAGATTGCATGTTTTTTGCTCATTTTTGCTCGAACATGACCTCAGTTTGACCTCAATAACTCCTGACCTAAGGTGACCTAAGACTTGAAATTTGGTGTGAAGGTGTCAAATTGATGCCCGGGAAGGTACTGAAAATTTGGCGGCGCTGCGCGCCGCCGTTTTCTTGCTATTCAGGAAAAACCACAGGGGGGGGCCAAAATGGCCCCCCCCCCAACGGGGCGAGGGTTAAAGGTGGCCCTTTTCCTTTAATGACCTTTGCTTATTGTCACATGTGCGCCGCATTCGTGATTGTTGCCGACGCCTGTTTGCAGGTCAGCCCACTACAGTTGTTATACATATCGAAAAACCGATAAACTTTTAGGCGACAAAAACACTATTTTAGGCCCATTTTTTATTTTTTTTGCGATATTAGGTAAAAACAGAAGCTTCTTATCCTAGGAAAAATAAAATGGGAAATCATTCAAAGGTGGCACACTACCTTTAAAGGTAAAAAATGCATCTAATATAAAACTTAAAAATACGACATATTTCAGCAGAGCCAGAGACAAAGAGAAGCAGAGACAGATTGTTAATCGTCACTGACGTTTAACAAATCAGTTAAAGGATATCTGATAATTTTCTCTCTTTGCACGTGGTGTGGAGCAATTGTAAACACTGTCTTCGGTGCGGGATAATTAAAAATTTCGTGTTGATCCGTCCCGTTGTTTTATAAAGCAATGGGGAAAACACTTTCAGTACACCTTTTAGGGAATCCTTTTCGTCAATTTTGCATTTTTCATACGTCATATGACATGTGATAAAACATAGATGGAGCTTTTTCGTGGAAGTTGGCGGGGCAAAAAGTCGTCAAACCCCTGGTCAAACCTATCAATGTCCTACTATCGAGTTGAATAAAAAGAACATTGAATCAATTTCCATCATTACATATGTCACATTTTGCTTTACACAGACATTACAAAGCTTTTCTATGTGAAAAGATTGAATTGCAAAGCAACAAAGTCCTACAAATCACTTAAAGTTGTTGGGGCAAAACGTTTATTGGTGGGGCAAAATGGCAAGTTTGTGGGGCAGCTGCCACACCAACTGTATAGGAAGCTCCGCCCCTGTGATAAAAATAGCATGTCGTAGGTAAAGGGAATTCCATCTTGAATCGGTGAGGGTCCGTCTGACCTTTTTGATAGTCTTAGACGACAGCTTGCTCCAGCCCATGAAGGATCCCATGATCTGATAGCCCATAAGGAATCATTCTCATGCGAAGCAAATCCGTTCTCTCGACTCTCGTTTCCTATCCAAAGGTGAACACGTCCCTCTAATGCCGACGTTTCCCGCCGTTGCAGGTATCTCCTCAGACGCGGCTCCTAGTGCCGCTGGTTCTAGCTGTGGCAGCTGCCGAGGCGGGCCGCGTGCTCATGATGGCTCCCCTCGGCGGCAAGTCTCAGAAGCAGCTCTTCTACGGACTGGCTGATGGACTCGTGGAACGGGGGCATGAAGTCGTGTTCTTCAATGCGTTCAAACCCTCGAAACCGGTGAAGGGCGTCCGTGAGGTTGTTCCCGAGGAACTGGCCAAGGTGTTGTCGGACGAGAACTTTCCCAACGTGCTTAAAATGAACAAGGAAGGAATGTTTCATGCCGGCTTCAGTCAGTTCCGTTTCATGTTTGTCGACGGCCCTAAAACCGCCATTGCCAGCAAGGAAGTGGATGAGCTGCTCAAGGACGAATTCGACGTCGTGGTCATGGGAACGTTAAGTTACCCGCTTTACTTTGTACCCTATCTCATGCAGAAGCCGTTTATTCTACTGACAGCTGTGTCATACATGCCTCTGCAAACAAGTACCGTGGGGAATCCGACAATCCCTTCCCTACATCCGTTGCCTCTTCTACCAGTGACGCCAGAGATGGGCTTCTTTACCCGCGTCAAGAATGTCATAGCCCATATCGTCATGCTTTCGCTGGGGAAGATGGTGTTTGCCCCCTTCTGTGACCGGTTGGTTGCAGAGAAGTTCGGAGATGGTGTCATCCCTCCGGCTTTAGAGATTGAGAAGAACGCCAGCCTCGTCCTGTTGAGCAGCAACCCTGCCGTACACTATCACCAGCCCTTGTTGCCAAACACAATCCAGGTGGGAGGCATGCACTGCCTGAAGCCCAAGCCGCTTCCCAAAGAGCTGACTGATTTCCTGGGCGATTCCGAGTTTGTCTACTTCAGTTTGGGCTCAGTAATAAAGCCTCAGGACATGTCCCTGGAGCAGAAGGCGGCCATCCTTGCCGCGCTTGGCTCTCTGCCTTACAAAGTGCTACTCAAGTGGGACACCACGGACCGCACCGGCCTGCCCGCCAACATCCTCCCCTCCAAGTGGCTGCCGCAGCAGGACATTCTCGGCAGCAGCAAGTGTCGGCTGTTCATCTCGCACGGCGGCTTCGCGAGTGTTCTGGAGTCGCTCTGTCATGGAGTACCGCTGGTCACCATGCCCGGCTCGGGGGACCAGCAGTTCAACGCCGTCAACGCCGTGTCTCTGGGCGTGGCCGAGCTGCTCTCCTGGGACGAGCTGACGGCGGAGAGCCTGCGCTCGGCCATGGCGGCGGCGCTGTCGGCCGAGCGGCTGGCGGCGGCCCGCCACCGGCAGCGGCTGATGGCCGAGCAGCCGGTGCCGCCCCGTGACCTGGCCGTCCACTGGGTGGAGCACGTCATGCGCCACGGCGGCGCGCCGCACCTGCGCTCCGTCGGCGCCGAGCTCAACTTCTTCCAGTACTACTCGCTGGACGTGCTGGCCTTCTTGCTGGCCGTGCTGCTGCTGGCACTGAAGCTACTGATTGCCATGCTGAAGTGCTGTTGTCGCTGTGTGTGCATTCGGAGGACGCGTCGGGTGCCCGCCGAGACGAAACCCAAGGCTAAGCGAGCCAAACGCGACTAGCCCGCGACAAAAGTAATGCTGAGTAGGTATATGCATGGATTTTATGCAGATGCTGTAGTGCAAACCGCTGTCTTCGGTTGAACATTTGTTTCTTTGAAAGAATGACCAGGGTAATTCACAGGGTCAAGACAAGAAGTTGCATGTCCACTTCTATGCGCGTGCCGCGTGAATTTTGTGTGTTTGTGTGTGAATGTGTGTGAGGGGGAAGAGAAGATGTTCCTGCACTTATCTACTATGTGCGCAAATTAATAACCCAGACTCGAGAGTCTTTCTAGACTTTACTGCATTGCGTGAAGGCGGAAGAAGGCGCTAGGCCTTGGGTTTCAATGAGGGCTGCGCGCTGTATGCAGGAGTTTTGCATGGAATGATGGAACACATCCTACAGGTAAATCGATATCATAATTTCAATATATGTTATTATGTAGGCATGTACTGTAGGTAGGTACTTAGCGACGGTGATGATTGAATGAATTGGAAGACTATGTCGACTGAAATGTTGCCTAAAATAAACTGCCATCTCCCAAGTTTCCAACGAATTGTGATTCAGTATTTGCCGATCGATGTGTTAGCGCTAGGATGCGACCTGTGACGTATTTACTGCGTGATTCAAAGATGTTGAGCTCCGCCACAGAGGGAGCCAGCGAACGTACACCGATATCTGGTTCCAGGTAACCGCTGCTCTTAGCTCTATGGCGGATCGACTTTCTACCCAGCTCCGTTGTCACTTGAGGCGGCCTAAGATGGCCATCCGCAGTCCGCACGCTTCTGCTCAGATGTGACCGTAGCGAGCTCAGCAGCTACAGCACCATCCGTTTGTAAGTTAGACAGGGGGCAGAATCTTCCCCCCCCCCCCTCCAGCAGGGCGCGTTTGGCTTAATATTTCTGCGGGGCGCGGGTGAAAGACAATCAGTGATGCATTCTAACTAGGGACATATCCAAAAGAAAGGTAGGAAAGAAGGGTGGCCCGCACAAGACAGATGAGGATTGGGTTACACGTCACACTTGTGAACGTGCACACTTTACAATGGCGCTCGTTCGCTTGTTGTCCCAGAAAAAGCGTCTTCTGGAATGATCGTTTTCACGTCCACGATGCTAAAAAATTCCATTACTCGCATTAATTACAATGAACCCTGTCCTCTGAACACGTCTAACACTGCGCTGTTTCCTGCCGTTGCAGGTATCTCCTCAGACGCGGCTCCTAGTGCCGCTGGTTCTAGCTGTGGCAGCTGCCGAGGCGGGCCGCGTGCTCATGATGGCTCCCCTCGGCGGCAAGTCTCAGAAGCAGCTCTTCTACGGACTGGCTGATGGACTCGTGGAACGGGGGCATGAAGTCGTGTTCTTCAATGCGTTCAAGCCCTCGACACCGGTGAAGGGCGTCCGTGAGGTAGTTCCCGAGGAACTGGCCAAGGTGTTTTCGGACGAGAACTTTCCCAATGTGTTTAAAATGAACAAAGAAGGAGCGTTTTATGCCGGTTTCAGTCAGTTCCGTTTCATGTTTGTCGATGGTCCTAAAGCTGTCCTTGCCAGCAAGGAAGTGGATGAGCTGCTCCAAGAGGAATTCGATGTCGTCATCTGCGGAGTGTTCGGTTATCCATTTTACTTTGTACCCTATCTCATGAAAAAGCCGTTCATCCTGCTGACGCATATGGCCCATATGCCTCTGCAGACAAATCCAGTGGGAAATCCAAACCTTCCTGCACTACATCCGTTGCCGCTGCTGCATCTGCCGGCGACAATGAGCTTCTTGGCCCGTGTCAAGAATTTCATAGCCCATATCGTCGTGCTTTCGCTGGGAAAGATGGTGTTTGCCCCCTTCTGTGACCGGCTGGTTGCAGAGAAGTTCGGAGATGGTGTCATCCCTCCGGCTCTAGAGATTGAGAAGAACGCCAGCCTCGTCCTGTTGAGCAGCAACCCTGCCGTACACTATCACAAGCCGTTGTTGCCGAACACAATCCAGGTGGGAGGCATGCACTGCCTGAAGCCCAAGCCGCTTCCCAAAGAGTTGACCGACTTCCTGGGCGATTCCGAGTTCGTCTACTTCAGTTTGGGTACAATAATGAAGCCTCGGGACATGTCCCCGGAGCAGAAGGCGGCCATCCTTGCCGCGCTTGGCTCTCTGCCTTACAAAGTGCTACTCAAGTGGGACACCACGGACCGCACCGGCCTGCCCGCCAACATCCTCCCCTCCAAGTGGCTGCCGCAGCAGGACATTCTCGGCAGCAGCAAGTGTCGGCTGTTCATCTCGCACGGCGGCTTCGCGAGTGTTCTGGAGTCGCTCTGTCATGGAGTACCGCTGGTCACCATGCCCGGCTCGGGGGACCAGCAGTTCAACGCCGTCAACGCCGTGTCTCTGGGCGTGGCCGAGCTGCTCTCCTGGGACGAGCTGACGGCGGAGAGCCTGCGCTCGGCCATGGCGGCGGCGCTGTCGGCCGAGCGGCTGGCGGCGGCCCGCCACCGGCAGCGGCTGATGGCCGAGCAGCCGGTGCCGCCCCGTGACCTGGCCGTCTACTGGGTGGAGCACGTCATGCGCCACGGCGGCGCGCCGCACCTGCGCTCCGTCGGCGCCGGCCGCCGAGCTCAACTTCTTCCAGTACTACTCGCTGGACGTGCTGGCCTTCTTGCTGGCCGTGCTGCTGCTGGCACTGAAGCTGCTGATTGCCATGTTGAAGTGCTGTTGTCGCTGTGTGTGCGTTCGGAGGACGCGTCGGGTGCCGGCCGAGACGAAACCCAAGGCTAAGCGAGCCAAACGCGACTAGCCCGCGACAAAAATGATTTTGAGTAGGTTTATGCATGTCACTGAGATTGTGCACATGCTGATGGCGAAAATCAATATCTTCGGTTGAACATTTATTAGGTGAGGTAGTTATTTGCATATTGCATATTTGAAGGGACCCTCCCACCTTCAAAAAAGTTTATGAATTGGCATGAAAGTGATGTCGCTCGGTTCAGAAAGAACGAAAACGAATATCTATCAAATTTCACCGAAAAATATTCACCGGTTTTCAAGATATTAGACTTTTACTTTTGTTTACTTTTTGGGATCTCCGCTGTTCCTAGCGACTTTATTTGGAAGCAATAGTTTGGCAGCTGAAAGTGCGGCACTTGTTGCGCGCAAAGCAGCATATACCACCGCGTGCTACAAAACGTTTTAGTCAAACATTTAAAAATCGTTAGATATCTGCGCTGACGTCACACATTCAGAGGGGTATTCCTATGCATTAGCCCCTCTGAATCAAAACGTTGCAATTTTGAAATTCAATATTTCCGATTTAAGGCATTTCTCGATGTTGTGAGTGCCGAAACCGGTAATTGTGAGCCAGGGACCCCATTTTGGCTATCTCAACTCAAATCTAATGTTAAGGTGGGAGGGTCCCTTTAAGGGAACATTCCTCGTTCCTCAAGTTAGTTTTTTTTGTTGTTGTACAGTTTTGTGAGTTAACTACTATGTTTTATAACATAATATGTTTTTTATACAGCATGCTATGTTTTATAACATAGAATAGCTCATGGGCGTCACCACCACTAGGGACATTAGGGACATTGTCCCTAGAAGTTTTGGAAGCATCAAAAACTACTAGGGACTGTCCCTAGAAGTATTTGGAGCTCCCTTTACTGGGGACACACAAAGAACCCGGGATACGATATCGATATCGTGATTTGGAGCTCCCTTTACTGGGGACGCACAAAGAACTCGGGACACGATATCGATATCGTGATTTGGAGCTCCCTTTACTGGGGACACACAAAGAACTCGGGACACGATATCGTGACACGATATCGACATCGTGATTTGGAGCTCCCTTTACTGGGGACACACAAAGAACCCGTGACAGTTGACACGATAGGCGGATATCGTGTCCCGGGTTCTTTGTGTCAGTCCCCAATAAAGGGAGCTCAAAATAGTTCTAGGGGACAATCCCTAGCAGTTTTTGATGCTTCCAAAACTTCTAGGGACAATGTCCCTAGTGTCCCTAGTGGTGGTGACGCCCATGCCGATAGCTTACGCTAGCCGGGTCAGGGTGTTGACGCCGTCTGAGCTGCCGCAGCCCGTACTGGTAAAAGAGGGCCTGACGGTCGTCTTTGCTGTTTTTGAGAAGTTCTTTTACTACCTCTACGGTCGGAATTTCATACTGATTACTGACCACAGACAACAGCGCTCTCAGATACCTGCTCTAACTAGGCCACAACGGAACCCAAGGGCTCCTCACGACTTCTCGAGGGTCGAGGGATGCATTGAGGCTACTCGATTCCGAGTTCGAGGTGCGGCATCGCCCAGGGCCCGAAATACCACACGTGGTCCGTGGATGGACTGAGCCGTTTGTCTTGGAAGGCAATGAAAGAAGGGCAAAGCCAAAAAGTGACCGCGGACATCGACCTCGCCTCGGGCACTCGGCCGGTTTGTACCGTCATTGAGATGGGAATCAAACCACTGAGAGCCGAGGAGCTGCAAGCAGACCAGCTCAAGGATGAGCATTGTAGCCGATTATGCGATACCTTAACCCTCGCATGTGTAGGGGGGGGGGGGTCGGATGGACCCCCCTCATGGTTTTTCGCGAATAAGTCGCGTAAAAAGCGGCCGATCGCGACGAAACTTTCAGTACCCTCACATTGATCAATTTTACACCTACCCTGAAAATTTCATGACCCTGACCCAAATGACCTTTGACCTGTGTGTGACCTCTTTTCCGAGACCATGTTTGGCCGGAATCGCGATTCTGCGTATGTCGGCTCGCATTAGCCGCGCGTTTGCAAGCTTTTCGTGGTTTCAAACATTCAAACATGTGATTTGATGTTGCTTCCATGCATTAGGGTGGGTGTCAAGGTCACCTGAAGGTCAGGTCAGGTCATTGACCTTTGGTGACCTTGGGTGACCTCGGTTCACTTTTTCGAGCTGTACATGTTTCTAGGCTAGTTTTTGGAGCTGAATTCGAATTTAGCAACTATTTGAACATTTACGAAGTAGTTTTGGTGCCTTTGTAACATGTTACGAAGCTGTCAGAGGCGGTTGACACGTACAGTAGGTCTATTAAAAAAGTCCCCAGCACCAGTGGGCGCTGCCTTCGCTGAGCCGAACCCCCGTCTGCCTGTCCCATAGGGGAAGTTGGGGGAACGCCGAATACTTTTTTTCTGACGCCCGTAGCACGCAAGGTAGACAACATAAGCTATTCTTGTTGGCGTCATTCGAGAGGCCAGTCTTTTGCCTTTCAAACATACCAGGCGCATTTGATGAATTCGCATACCGTTAAGCGCACAAACTAAAAATATCAAAGAAGTGACTTTTTCGGCGTTGCCCCGGACTGCGGGGAAAGCCGAAAATGGGAGAAATGATCTACGGGGAATGCCGACATTGATGTTTTGCCACTTTATCTCAAACTTTATCCAGAATTTATCAAAGCTGACACGCGTTTTAAGAGCTTGAGGACGCTTGGTGCACACTGGAAGTTATAATTGTGTGATATAATAAGAAAATGCCAGGTAAATAATTCCTTATAGGTAACAGGCCGTTGTGTCGGTTGAAAGTGTA